CAGAAAAAAGACATTAAACTAAAATTGGACATAATTAAACATAAAATAGGTCAAATAGAGAAAGAAGAATTAGCACAGAAAATTAGAAATGCTAAAGAGAACTATTTTGAAGATGCAAACAAACCAGGTAGATGGTTAGCATACAAATTGAGAAAGGAGGAAGAATCAAGGAAAATATTGCAGTTAATAGATGATCAAGGCCAAGTTTGTTATGGTAATAAAGAGAAAAAGGAAATTATTCGAGACTTCTATGGGCAATTATATAAGCAAGAGAATATTGATGAGGAAAGAGTCAAACAGTACCTACAGAATGCTAATCTACCTAGGATACCTAAAGAGACTGAAAAAATGTTAGAAAGTAATATAACAATGATGGAATTAACTCAAGCACTTAAGAAACAAAATAATGGGAAAGCACCAGGTCCAGATGGGCTTCCGGCAGAATTTTATAAAACACTACAAGAATCGCTGAGCTTTCCATTGCTAGAAGTCATGAATGAAGTTATGTCAAAGAAGAAGATACCTAAAACATGGTCAGAAGCCTATATTACACTTATTCCAAAAGAAGAGGCTGATCCATTGCAAATTAAGAATTATAGACCTATTTCTTTACTAAATGCAGACTATAAAATCTTTGCTTCAATTTTGGCAGAAAGACTTAAAAAATACTTAAATAACTTTATTCATCCAGATCAAAATGGATTTCTGCCAAAGAGACAAATCAAAGACAATATGAGAGTAATTTTGGACACTTTGGCATATTATGAGGCACATCCCGAAAAGCAAAGGGCTTTGATATTTTTAGATGCGCAAAAGGCATTTGATAATGTGAATTGGAGATCCATGTTATTATTATTGGAACAGATGGGCTTCGCCAGAAAATTTATTCAAGCAATAGAAGCCATATACTATAAGCAAATGGCAAAGGTAATGATAGAGGGAGAATTCACAGATTCTATCAATATAAGAAAAGGTACAAGACAAGGATGCCCACTATCACCTTTGCTTTTTGTATTAACTTTGGAAGTGTTGAATAGAAATATTAGAGATGATAAAAGTATAAAAGGAATGAAAATCAAAAAGGAAGAATTTAAATTGCAAGCCTTCACGGATGATTTGGCCTTTATTTTGGAAGACCCTTTAGAAACAGCTCCAAAATTATTGGAAAAGATAGAGACATATGGTGAGGTGGCTGGTTTGAAAATAAATAAAGATAAAACAAAGATTTTGACAAAGAATATGCTACTAAGACAAAGAGAAGAACTGGCAGACCTATTGAAAATTCAAGTCACAAATAAGGTTAAGTATCTGGGGATACATTTGACACCAAGATGTAGTACATTAAAAGAGAATAATTACATTAAACTTAAACAGCAGATAGCGTTAGATTTGATGAAATGGGAAAATCTACAATTGTCATTAATAGGGAGAATCTCAACAATCAAGATGAATAGCCTACCCAGAATCTTATACTTGTTTCAAACAATACCAATTAGGCTTGGAAAAGACTATTTTGAAGATTTAAATAAAATTGTGTTGAAGTATATATGGCAAGGTAAGAAAGCGAGAATAAAGTTAAAATTTTTACAAGATGCTAGAATTAGAGGAGGATTTGGTTTGCCTAATTGGGAGTTGTACTATCAAGCTGCAAATTTGATGTGGGTTAAGGAATGGATAACATTAAGAAAGACTAGATTGTTGACACTAGAAGGACATGATTTGTTGTTGGGCTGGCATCCTTTTCTATGGTATAAGGGAACTAAAACACAGGGCTATTTTAGAAGACATCATAGACGGGAGTCTTTGTGGTTAAATTGGGAGAAGATTAAAAGACAATGTTATTTTAAAATTCCACTTTGGTTATCGACTATTGAAGCTTTTTCCTATCCTATAATATACAAGAAGGAACAAACAGTTAGATATGGGGAAATATTGGATGAAAAGGGTGAACTTAAATCGATGCAAAATTTAGAGGAACAAGGTATAAAGATGAATTGGTTTTCATATGCGCAAATACATTCAAGGTATGATGAAGATTTTAAAACAGAAGGATTCTATGATAAATTGACTGATTTAGATAAGATTTTGACAGGTACTGATGAAAAAGTGATTTAAAAACTATCAGGTTATTTATTGGAAATTAAACTAGAGGAAGAACAAGTTAAAGAAACTATGATTGCTTGGGGGAAGAATTTTGGATATGGGATTGATTTAGAGAAATGGCAAAAATTGTGGTCTCAAAATTACAAAATGACAATGTCAACAGCATATAATTTTTTTTTGTATAAGATGTTTTACAGGTGGCATTTCCCCCCGACAAGAATAGCAAGAATGTTCAAGAATCCGAAAAAATGTTGGAAATGTCATCAGATACCTGGCTCATATTACCATATGTGGTGGACTTGTGAGGACGCTAGAAAATATTGGACTAAAATTCGCATGTGGTTGAAAAAATGATAAACACATAGACTTGAAACCAGAGATTTTTTTATTGGGAATTTTACCTGATACATATAGTAAAGATTTGAAATACCTGATTGTAAATGTATTAACTGCGGCTAGGATTGTATTTGCTAAAAATTGGAAAAATGAGAAAATACCATCGCAGGAGGAAATCATTAAGAAAATATTGGAATGTGCTGAAATGAGTAGATTGACATTTGAAATTAGAGAACAAGAGGATAAACAATTTTATAAAATTTGGGACCTTTTCTATCAATGGTTAGATAATAAAACACAATAATAGAATATCTAGAATTTCAGAAAACAATGAATATATTAAGATATATTTCTTTTTATATATATATATATCTATAAAATGTTTTTAGGATAGATTTGGTAGGAGTATATGAATTGTTATTAAAATAAACTAAGTAAATTATAGTTATCTCCCAAAGTATGCATAAATAAAATTATAGTCAAATGATTGTTTAATAGTGATATTAGGGTATTTAATCTTTGATTGATAATATGAGTTATTATGCAATGTAACTGTAATTGAGACTACGAAATGGATGCACAAAAAATTGGTAAACCAACCGACACACTGCTTGTATATTTATGAAAGAAAGCTGGATGTTTTTATGTTTTGCTTGTTTTTGTTGGTCTTTAAAAGTCAATAAAATTGTTTGTTTTTTTTAAACTTATTCAGTATCTGTAAATCACCTAGATAAGTGATACAAGTAAAACATAAATATGTTGCGTTTTTAATAAGTTCAGAGTAACATAAATGTAGAATCGCATGCAGGTATTAAGGTATCACTTTTACTGATTCTAAAGGCCCTTTAACCGTCTCTCTCTCTCATCTAAACTGAGAGCCCCAGAGTCAGGCAGGGATGCCCAACCTTGGCAGCACCTGGAGGATGCAGGGACTTCCAACACCTGAATTCCCCAGGTAGCTCTGCTGGCTGGGAATTCTGGGAGTTGAAGTCCGCACATCTCCCGGGTGCCCAGGTTGAGAAACGTCGTGTTAACGCACAACAAGGGTGCAGCACCGGGCAGGAGGCGGCATGGAGGGTCTTGCCCAAACAAGGGACCAAGGGGGCTCAGAGGGGCCAGGAGGCATCACTGCGTCACAGCCCCACCACCTCTCGGTCAGTCGGAGCCACGAAGCTCTTGGCAGCGCCCAACCAGCCTGGTCTGAGCATGGCAAAAGGATAAGGAGGTCGGGCATGGCATGGGGAGGGGACACCACATCTGGTCCTCTTTCCAGATGTGGCCTTGAAGGCGTGAGGAGGTGGGGCTGAGCTCCTCAACTCTGGTCAGTACGTGAACTGTTGTAAGTTGAGGACTATCAGTCCCAAAGATCTTTTATAGGACGTGGAAATTCCTAACAATAAAGGGTGACCCCCTCCTGGCCCAGGTAGAAAAAAGGCCGGAGAGTCTCCCCCAGGAGGGGCCCCATCTGGAAGGTGTGGAGGGAATCCTCCGTCTCCGCATCCAGGAACTCCACTTCTTTTGCCTCGCAGTCCAGCCTCACCCGCAGCCTCTGCAGCGGCTTTTTCAAGCTCAGCTTCTGCTGATCTGTGTCAAAAGTGACAATCTCTCCCCTAACACTCTTCCCCATGGCCCAGATTCCCTCCTGGGGGCTCAACTGGAAGGTCCCTTTCCTGCGGACGGACTCCTTGGCCACCCCGATGGCCCAACATGCTTTGCCTCGCACTGGGGCATTGTCAGCCGCCACCTGCACTGACACCTCCCACCAGTGCCATCCTGTGTTGAATCCTACACAGCCCAGGACACAGAATTCCCGGTCGAACCTCCCTGGCACATCTGGGTAATTCTGGTATCTGTCGGCCCAAGTCACAGAGGAGCCCTTGCACAGGAGCCGGGGGTGGGCGGTTGAGCCGTCTGGCCTGACGAAAGCTGCAGGACGGAGAACAGAAACTCTTTAAGATGGGCTGGGAACAGGGTGTCAACTCATAAAACATTTCTAAGGTCTTTTTAGAGTTGCCAACAGAAAGGGAGGGGGAAAGGGGTTTGGAAGAGCAGTGCGGAAGTTTGGAAACCAAAAGTGCATTCCACACATAGCTTTTTAGAGATAGTAACTAGGTGACTGAAGTTTCTCCCAAGAAAATATCTAACTGGAGAACATGATTGATGACTCTGGGCTACGGAGGGCAAAGCAGGGCGGGGCTGGGTGCTTCTGAGCCGTTTGGTCCTCTCTGGAGTCAGAGATGCAGTGGCTGGCAAGCCCCCCCCCCCAAAATGGGACCAATTCCTAAGTACAGCAGGTCTCTGCAGCCGGAGGTCAGTGGGGCTGCCTCTGAAGTTGGGGGGTTGTGGGCAGTTGGGGGGTCTGACCCACACTAGGCCCTGCGCTTACTTCAATTCCCCAGGGCACCTGGAGATGGCACTGGTCATCCTCGGCTTACAACTGTTCCTTTAGTGATGGTTTGAAGTTACAATGGCACTGAAAGGGGGACCTACAACCATTTTTCACACTTATGGCCACTGAAGCATCATGGCTGCAGAGCCCCGAGGTCAGGGGTCCCCCGTTTACTAGGTGCCTGGAGGGCTGGTTCAGGAAGGGCCCTGGCCAGGCAGGGGATGCCCAACATCCGCCGCCCTCTACGGACCCCACCCGCTACAGAACGTTCCCTCTTCCTCCATGTGCTGTTACCTTGAGGAGATCTTGGCTGTTGTGGAGCAAGTGCTGGGGAGGAAGGGATAGAAGTTAAAATCAGGGGCTTCTTCAAGCCCCCCACCCCACTTCTTACAGGGCCCCACTCAACACCGAGGCCCCCGCTGGGCTCTTCTATGCCCGGGAAGCACTAAGCACCCTCCCCCGTGGCTCTTTTCTGGAAGGGCCAAGGGGTGGCAGAGAAGGGCCGGCTCTGCCTGGCTGCTGAGGGACCCCACTCCTCCCCCAGAGGCTGCCTTTGGGGGCCCCTCCAGACTCGGGGCTTCCACCCCACGGAGGAAGCCACTCTTGGCAGGTGTTATTCCTGGCGATGTGGGAAACCGCTGCTGTGAGGCCTGGTGGTCTTTGCAATCCCCTCCCCCACTGACTCCCCCCACCAGCCCCAGGGGGTTTACCTGTGATCAGAGGTCGCTCCAGGTTCTTCCTGGTCAGAGTCGCCTGCAGAGAGGCTGAGATTCAGAAGACGAAAGGAAAAAACGGGGCCGGGATGAGAAACAGCCGCCCGTGGGCAATGCCCGTGAGCGGAAGCCACCCTGTTGGTAGCAGTGTCTTGGTCCCTGCCAGGTTCCCAGTGAACCCCCACCCCAAGGAGCATGGTTGGGGGGCTGAGTGATCAGTGGAAGTGGCAGCCCCCCCTCACCTAGCCAGAGGTTGGATGGAGCCGGTTTGGGTCTGGCTCCCCTGAGATCCCCCAGGAGGAAGGGGGACAGAAGGAGGGCCCAGAACTCCTGGGGCTCCTCTCTAGGGCCCAAGACCCCCAGCCCCCTCCTGAAAGGGCCCCTCACCTTTGTAACTATTCACAATCCGTCTTACAGAAGCGTTTTTCTCCAAGAGGGTGCGGAGTCTGCCTTGCAGCCTGGGAGAGACGCTCTTTACACGCCCCACCATGTAACTCCGACACCTGCGACACAAGGAGGGCGGCTGTCAGGGTTCTGGCAGTTACTCCAATTTAATCATGAGCCTTGAGCCACACTCCCAAAACTAAAGAGGATTTATTTGAAGGTAACATTCCATGTCCGGCACTAACCTGGGCGTAGCCAACTCTGAGTTACGTAATTCACTGTCACCCTTGATCCTGCTTTCCCCCCCCCTGCCCCCCCCCCCGTGTATCATCCAACAAAAAACATCCATAGCCAAGAGTCATCAATCATGCTCTCCAATTAGATTTTTTTGCGGCAGAAGCTTCAGTCATCTAATTAGTCTTAGAAGAAAATATGAATGGAATGTACTTTCAATTCCACACTGCCACCTGCTCATTGAAACTGCCCCCCCTTTCTGTTGTCAACTATAAAATGTGTATACAAGATGTTTTATGACTTGACAATGGCCTCACACACCTACCCGGCTGCCTCCCCACAACACAGGGGGGCAGGGCGAGGGCTGGGTTGGCTGTGGGGTGTGTGAAACAAGCCGGTCCTTTCCAGCATCTTGCCAGGTGAATACAGGACTCAGGTTTTCCAAACCTGAGTTTGGCATGTGGCGTGAATCCTAGCTTGTTTACTATGCAACCGTTATTTGTTGCTTTGATCGCAAGCGACTCTGCGCACTGAACTAGTGTAGAGTTCAGTATAGAAGCGAGGAAAGTCACAAACTCAACACAAATGTCAGTGTGATTCTGATCTTACTGTACCAAGGACTAAGGGGTCCTAAGCAAAGAAACCAGGTTTCCTGCAACAACTGAGTTTTCACCGCTTCCCTCCACCCCAAGTGGGGATCATCCGAATGGCTGCGGAGAAAGCGAACCTGCAGCAGAAGAGAAGAGTTGCCCTTGGGGGTCCTTGGGGATCGGCTGTTTTCTTGCAGACCTTTCATTACGCAACTGAGCAACATCATCAGTGCTACAGGGGAGTGAGGTTTGTTCTCCTTTCACATACAGGTAACCCCCAACTGTTCGTTTTGTGAACGTTCAAAGTTACGGCAGTGAAAAAAGTGCCCTCCGGCCATTTTGCAGAGTTTCAACCTTTGCAGCGTCCCCACGGCCATGGGATCCAAATGCAGATGATTGGCAATGAGCTCACACTTATGACCATTGCTGGATCCTAAGGTCATGTGGCCGTCAGACAACCAAAGCCCATGGGGAAGCCTGCTTCACTTAACAACCAGGTTACTAACCTATCAACAGCAGCGATATGCTTAAAAAGTGTGGCAAGAAAGGTCGAAAAAACTCAGTTAACACCTGTCTCACTTAGTAAGAGAAATCTTGGCTTCAGCTGTGGTCATGAGGTCAAGGCCTGTCTGCACTCTTGGCTTCCCCTGACAGTATTGGTGGGACCGTTGTTCTCTCCTTGGGGGCTCCCTGGTTAGACTCCGTTTTGCTGTTGGATTGTCGGTCTGCGTTGATGGTGCCTCATCTGTGTTGTTTACAATGCCTGAGCAACCACTGAGGCATAAACGGCTCCCCAACTGAGAGCAACCTATTTGTGCATCAAGAGGGAGCGAACACCACTCCCTCCCAGCACTGATGGTGTTACCTAGTCAGTGTTTTGGTCCGCCGGCAGCTGCCGCAGCGGGCAACAGACTCGGGCAGTAGTGAGGAGGTTGGGGAGGAACGTGGGACAGTCTTGGAGGCTGAGGAAGGTTCGGATGAGGGCTCTGGGTCAGAGGCAGAGATGGGGCCAGGACAGGCTGGCAATCATCAGCTGCCTTCAGCCTTGGAAAGCACTGAGGTGGGGGAGCTTCTGGAACTGGTCCCCAGCCTGCGCATACACAGAGCTGCCAAAAGGAAGGAACGATTATGAACTCAGGGTCAATGTGGGAGTAAGGCCACAGGTAGACAATGAATGCCCCCTCCCATCAGGATTAAAAGAGAACCAAAAGGGGAGGGGGCATTTGCAGGAAACAACTCACTCGCTCGTTTGTTTGAGCCTTGGCAGATTTGTCTGTATAACCCAGCCCTTCCCTGTCAGCACTGAGTGTGGAACTATTTCCAAGGCAGCGTTCCAGGATTGATAAGGCCTGAGCTAATTAGCATACCTTTGCAAGACAGTTTGCCAAGCCGTTGGCTGACTGTGAATGAAATAAGTTTACATTAATGTAATAAAGGAGGTTTTGCCAGGACCCAGAATTGACTTGGTGCTTTTTGGGGAGGCCTAGGACCGAACAGCTGGGTAACGAAATGTCTGCAGGAAGTCAGTCGAGCTCCGAGAGCACCAAAGGCCCCACAATCAGCATCTCTCAGCCACAAAATCCAAAAGGATGCAGCCACACCAGAAATTCTGGGCACAAACCGACCCACAAAGCCAGGGGTGGCGAAGGTCAAGATGGCGCCTACCTGTCTACGGTGTCTTGGATGTCCTGAAAGAAAAGAGAGAAATGGGTGCCGGCCCTCGTAAGGGTGGCCGGTCTCACCTCCTCCACCCAGGAACCCTCTGCTCCTTCCCACCTGCAAGAATTCCCCATCCGGCTGACGGCACTTCCTTTCTGTCTGGGCCATCAGCTGTTGCAGGCAGGAGGTCTCCCTGGAGAGCTGGGCCAGGGTCACCGCCCACTCAGACTCCATCTTCTCCTGCTCGGCCAGCCAGCCCAGCCAGACCGGCTGCCTCTCCCGGAGCAGCTCCTGCAGGGACTCCAGCAAGAGGCCCACCTCCTGCTTCTCGGCGGCAAGCAGCTCCTGGGGGCAGAAAATGGGGAGATTTCAGAGGGAGGGGGAGATTTCCCAGCCGCAGAACCAGCGTCCCTGAGGGGCTGCCTCCTGCCTTCTCCCCAAGAGACCCACCTGGCACTCCTGCCGGCTCTGCTCCTCGGCCTGCCTCTGTTCCAGCAACTTCTGCTCCTCCTTCCTCAAGGGCTCCAGGAGGCCATCCAGCAAATCCTGCACGCGGAGGAGAGGGTGCCATTCCTGGGTCCCAAATGGCAGCGCTCCCACTGAGAGGGGGCAACAGGAACTCTGTGCCACACTCAAGGAGAGGCCCTGCTGGAGGGTCCCAGGGGCAGGCAGGGGCCCACGAGGAGAGCAACTGAGAATTGGTCTCCCCCACCTTCTCCTCTCTCGCTGCCCAAAAAGAGCCTGGTTCTCTACTGCCATTTTTTTAACTTGGTAGCCCTTCCCATCGTTCAGGGGACATTGGGTGACCCCTGTGCCTGCCCCCCAAAGAGCTGATGCAGTGCCCC